TAGGCAAAACAAGCAAATCGACCGATGACATTGATAACCTTCGTCAACTGAGATGGCTTGAATACGTACTGAGGATGCCAAGCCACCATCTACTCTGACGTGCCATACTGAGGAAAGTTGAACTAGTTTGAAGGAAAGTTCAGAGTGGCCAGACAAAGATGTAGCACCAGTCAATGAAATCCCTTACAGTTGGTACGAGTTGTGTGGGGCGATGTAGACTGCCAGGCTGGGGTCTCCCAGACGACAGAAATCAGTAGTTGATGGCTATTGTTGACATCGCTGACAGCTGGTCATAATGGTGCAGATTTATTCGCTAGTCGCCATCTTCTAAAGCTTGACTAACTGCGCTAACAGACTGTCTATTCTGTGACAAACATTTGTTTGCTTTGATATCCCTATATTCTAAGTATATGTTCTTTGTGTACTACTGTGAAATGTGGGGGTTTGAACCGATTCTCTTGTGTGTGGAGTTTACCTTTTATTTTGTGATACAAACAGCTGAAGCCTGTAAGATATTGCCTGCTAATAATATAAAGACAAACAAAACTGCATTCACCTAATACATCATCTAGACACATTTTGGCAGTGATCAACATTTACTGCCACAAACCAGCTTTATGGGTGGCAAACTGCCTAGATGGTACTTGAGAGGAACTAGGATGCATAGCCTTTAAAACGTAGTTTGTTTTGTGTAGAAAGCAGATGAAACCATTATTGGTGACAAATTTATGGTATCTAGTGACACTGGTATTGTTTGCCAGTTAACTGCTGCAGAAGGCAATATTTATTGCCTCAAAGCACTCAGAAGAAATATTCGTGCCCAAGATGGGACCTCAAAGGCTACTGTTTTGCGAACTCACTGTTTGCAACTTCACTCCAGAAACGCGTCATACTATGAAACAGATAAAGTGACAATAACAAGTTTAATATGACGGCTCGTTACAGGTATTTCCACTGTGAAGTTAGAAAAAACTATATTGACTCCCGTTATGAATCGAACTACTGTGCATAACAGGTACTTCGATGACATGTTTGTTTTTTTGTAATAACCTGGATCATGCCACAAAACTCCTGAAAATATCTAATTAGGTGTATGTAGACATAAAATTTACCATGGAAGATGAAATAAACAACGAATTTAATTTTCTGGACTTCGTACCTCAGCGAAGAAGAGGTGGGCTGATGAAAACGGAACACTGAGTAGACAACATATCTAACTTAGTAGTTACTATTCGATGAGTTATAAGTAAGGACCAGTAAAAAAATTGTCGCATAGGGATAAGAAACTTACTTTGTCAAATAAAATAACTAAACATTTTCACTTCAGAAGTTCGAGGATAAATGTTCACCCTTAAAGTTATATAGATAAAGTCAAAGTATGTACAGCAGTACAGACCGAACTCGGTAATCCAGAGGAGAAACCTGTGTTTTTCCACCTTATAACCCAGAGGGGTTGAAATGATGCACCGGGACGAGAGAAAAGTAGAAAGGGCGCAAAGTATCGTTTGCTCAGCTTCAAAGTTAGTCTCCTTTTGAAAAATAAAATGTTCATTACCGACTTCAGTCTCATAAAATCTCACAGTGTATTTATCAAATCAAGTGTGCATGTCAGTAAGTAAGTTGGGCGGGCAGAGGGAAACACTAAGTCTAGATTTCATGAACATATATTTCAAATGAATCCAACATAAAGGGAGCAAAATGTCTTAAAATTTCGACGGATAAATATTTGGCAGTTACAGAATGCGATGTTCATATCTCCGAGAGAGTTTAAGCTAATTAATGAACAAAAAAACTCAAATTCACAGAGGTGATTGCTATACAAAAAGTTGGACTTGTGTATCAAAAAGGAAGCTGTTGTTAGCCTCCAGCCTATATGGTAGTCATTGATTTGTCATTCAGTATAAAACCCCTCCAAAATTTTAAAACTTTTTTTCTTTCATCTTTTACGAGTGATTTTTCAACCAATTTCCTTCAATCTTTACAATTTTGGATTCGTGAAATGTAGCGAAATAATAATCTGATTGCATAGAAGTAGAATAACCTTGAGTTTGGTCAATAATTTATTTCATTTAACTTTCCTGAATTTTTATCAATTCTTTCATTATTTTTCATTATTCTTCTCACTCATTAAGGTGTGTAGATTGCGTTTTTCTGTATATATCTCGTGACTTTGATAGCCTATTCAAAGTTAAAAAGGAGAAATTTGTCGTTCTCGATTTTTCAGAGTTTTTGAAGGGAATCAGTTTTACCAATCTAATTAATTTTCAAATTATTTATAAACTGTATGGTCCACTTCGACATTTCCTACAGTGTTTACGTTAAAAAAGCATCCGTGCACGATCAAAAAATCTGATTTCTGATATGAACGTGCTATGAACTAACCAGAAATGCTACTGACTAACATAAATAGTGAGAAAACACCTACGCTAATCTGAGTTATTTGGCTGTATACCCTGGATTCTTTCGGCTATAACACTGATCAAGATAACTTTACATGATCGTTATGTCCATTCATTGATTGTGTCACTGTGATCTGGCCAGCAAAATCAATATGTCAACATCAGTGCTTTCTAACTATTAGCTTTTTCAGCAGTATATTTCATCGTTTCCTGTTGCGTCATTTTAGTAGTATATACGTGGAATTCAGTAATATTTTGGAGGTTTACACTTGACATTATATTCACTGAATAGTTTCAGTAAATCTGATTATCTGCAATCAAGTGAAATAAGAGTATTTGTTTTAGTATCTCAGTTATACATGTGCTGTAGATGTAAATTTATTGAACGACACTCGGAAAATCTGCAAACAATGAAGAAAAGCAAATGATTGATTTGGTGATTTATGAGCCTTGATTGATCTTTATGTAGTATTCATCATAGACCAATTTGTATTAGGGAACCAGTTAGGGCCTTGGAGTACTAGACAGCTGGTTTGTTCCATTTTAAGGCTTGTCAGTAGTGGACAGAATTAGGAAATATGAACTTCTGAATTCCATTTCAGTAGATGAGTGGTAGCACGCCCACAAAGAGGCCCAGGGTTCCTGAGTCACGTCGTCTCCAGAATTGTAGGCATGCACTACTGAAAAGTCTTAGCTTGTGAAAAGTTATTTCTTAGTGGTCTCAAATTTTTAGTTTTCTTACTACAGATATGACTCCACAATGAGAACTACCTCGAAAAAAAGCGAAACCGGCAAGAGATTGTCGTAAATATTTTGTAGATCTATAATCACACAAATGAGTACATACTGAAAGCAAATGCATTTTTGAAGTTACCGCTTTTCTTAATCAGAATTTGAATTGCAATTCAATTATGATTCGATTGTTCAGACCATTCGTGATGCGAAAAACAAATCAGTAACCCAAAGTGCCAACATATTTCATAATTCAGAATTTTTCCTAAAGTTTAATAGTCCTAAAGCTAGAAGAGTACATGATTCTGAAACTACTAAGATTTGTGAGAAATTCACTCTCCTTAATAACGACATATTTGCGAGACAGCACAGATGATGTTGGTAGGCCACTCAGTCAATAGCATATGTTTCTGTGTAAAACTTAAATGAAAATACGAAATGTAGTGAATAGTAGAGGATAGCACATCTTTCACCTGTTATTTTTAGCCTTTATTAATATCAGAATGTCGGTGAAAGAATTTTCATTACCAGGTTAGTTCTACTGTCTGTGATCTATAAATTCGCTTTGAGTTGACCACTGAGTACAAAATTCATAAATTCTTCAAACGATTACTGAGATAATCGAATTAGACACCATAAATTATTATCGTATCCCTTAGATAAATTGCACTAATAATAACCCTGATTGTGGAGGGTAATTATTATATTATTATTATTAGTCCCTTGGGTTCCTAGTGTAACATAGGGCTTCACTAGCACGTCTCCAGTGAATTCTGTTCTCTGAGATCTTTTGAACCTGGTTCTACGACAGTCCACAAGCTCTCATTTCCGCCTCGCACGACCTCCTCCATGTCACCCTCGGACGTCCAACTCGTCGCTTCCCATCGGGATTCCACTCGAGGGCCTGGCACGTGATGTCCTCAGTCGGCCTTCTCAGTGCATGGCCAATCCATCTCCACTTCCTCCTGCATATTTGTTGCGTGATAGGTTCTTGGTTGGTTCATTCCCAGAGTTCCTTGTTGCTTATTTTTTCTGGCCATCTGATCTTCAGCAGCGAGCGTAAGCAGTTGTTGATGAATGTCTGTAGTTTATTGGAAATGCCTTTCGTGACGCGCGAAGTCTCTGAACCATACAAGAGCACTGACTTGACGTTGGTGTTGAAAATCAGTATCTTGTTCCGCATGCTGAGTGCAGAAGATCTCCACACTGGTTTCAGGCTAGTGAACGCCTGTCTTGCTTTTCCGATCCTGATTTTGACGTCGTCGTCCGTCCCGCCTGTAGTTGAAACAATGCTTCCTAGATAAGTGAAGGAGGTTACTTCCTTTAAGTTTCTCCCGTTGACGGTGATTGGAATTTGTTGTTGTTGGTGGTGGTGCGGAGGGTAATAGAAAAATAAAATTATGATTCATAATTTAGAAAATGAAGAAATAACACAAAACATGAAGTTTGAAAGCAGGTAAATACGGAAAGCGTAGCCTACCAATGAGGTATTTAATTTCCTGTAGATTGAAATTCAGTCAGTCTAAAGTCTATAATTTTGTTTGCTTAGTTTTTCCCATAAGTTGCCTTCTTAACCGGCTAAATGGTCATTTAGTGCTGATATAAGTCTAGATATTGAAGCCTCATATTTATGACTCTTATGTTATTGGCATTTTGTTTCCCTCATTATTTATAATTACAACCTATTCTATTGTTCATACGTCAAAAATCCTCTTAGAAAAGGCTATTTTAGCTAAGAAAAGAAAACGCTGGTGGCGGTATTGATAACAGTAATGTGCCTATGCCCATTCAGAATCTTTTCATGTATATTTATCTACTCCGTTTATGATTCCTCGAATTTTTTTCGGAATTTTTACTTTTATTTTTCAGGTTTCGGTTTTGTAACATTTGAAAGTGAACAGGCAGCAGAGAAAGTTTGCTCAATTCACTATCATGAACTGAATGGTAAAATGGTGAGTGTGCTAATATATGAAATTTTCGCATTTCATACTTTGTTAACCAATATACTATTGATAATGTTTAGTGTCAATAAATTATCGAGAAAGATTTTATAGTCACTTTATACTGAAACTTTTGCCACACACACACACACACGTAAGTATCGACTTATCACCACTGCCATGTGCTTCTTGGTTGTTCTGAATGTTACGTGACGAAAGCAAAACAAGATTCAAGTAACAGTTAAGATAATATTTATTCACTGGATCTACACCACATCAGTACTTTTACCGGGTACATTTAAATCAAATCTTAGGTGGTTTGGAATATACCTCGATAAGTTCACTATTATTAAGATGTTAAAATCGAAAAATACTAAGAAGAATATTGAATAAAAAGAAGTATTTGTTTTCACGATGTATTGTTATTCATTGGTTGCTGGCCTAGTTTATGACTCCCCTGAAGTTAACAAAATTACCGAATTTTAAGAATAAACATAAAGTTATACTACTTTGAAAGGCCGACGGTAGTCAATAGAAATCACTGGTCGAACTAGATAAGTGAAATGATTATTTGTTAATTTCCCTGCCTCCTTGATTTACCTTCGAAGTGAGGTGAGAAACTCTCACTTGTTCATTCAAATTACTGCAGGTGAATCGGTAAGGAATAAAACCACTTTTTCTTACTACTTTATGAAAGTCCAAAACTTGGGAATTTATAGAATATTTATACTGGGTGATGACTGAAGGTGAAATGGAAATTAGGCTACTAGGTCCTTGAAAGAGAATCTGGCCGGAAACTCGGCGGTCGCCGGTTCAAGTCTGGCTGAGGTCCAAACTTATATTTCACCTTCAAATATACAAATACTAGTCTGCCAAACTATGGCTATCTCCAGTAGCCAAAGGGTGATTTATAAAGTGTTGGCTCGAATTGTCAGTTTAACTCACAGAGCAAAATAGAGATTACATGTATCACCCTGTCGATGAGGTAGACTGCAGTTTACTTATGCAGTTACCTATATTCATGTATTTCAGAATAACCAATTTCCTTAACTAACATTTCCATGTAAATTGTTTCAGCCCCATGACTCTTGTTTCATTGATGGTTCCAATGTGGAAAATGGGTCAGGCGTGATCTGCCATGGCTTACGTGAAGCTGTAGCTCAGTGGTTTAGGGGATGACTATCAACAGCCTAGTCACAGGTTCAAACAACGCCCCACCTAGAGAGGTTCGGGCAGTCAGGTAGTACCACTAGCCCTCACACAATAGATGCGGCTCATCGCCTACTGGACGAATGTGAACAAGGTTGCTGAGTGCAGTTCGTCGTTTCATCTTGGCTTACGCTTTTTTACCGATCTTCTTTGATCCCCTCATATCTTTCTGCTTTCCGGGAAGTTCTTTCACTTTATCGTCTACACAAGGAAACCTCGGGCTTTCTGCAATAACAGTGCCTATACTCTTACGCTTCATTCACTCCTAAGTTTTGCCTATACTTACTCATTGTTTCCTGTTATTCTTTCCTGGGATCTGGAAAAAATAATACCCTGTATTGCATAGAATTTTAAAGTCTGTTAATAGGTCGATGAATGCGGTCATGGATAAGTATCTGAACTCTTGCAGACTGATAAAAATATTTTACCTAATGACAAGAATACTTTGGATCTGCATCTCTCTCTATGTATGTCCTCTGAAAAGACATGAATTAAATATACTAAACTCATTGCGCGCACAACAACATACAAAAATTTAACCACACTGTCTTATTTAGATTGCATACTGTGTGAAGGAAAATCATGTTGGAAAAAGTCTCGTCAGCCTCGCCTGGTTAACTAGTTTACCAGTTACTAACCGGTCCTAAGCCCGGGTAAAGAGGGAAGGCTGGGCATAAGGCTAGCAACCCTACCCCGAAAAACCAATCTAACCCTAATGAAACTTCAAAGCACAAAGAATATATAAAAAATAAAAATAAACCTATTCCTCCCATGGAATTTGAGAGGCAAAATAACGCCGGTTGGTGAAAGCCTGTCTCAGGGAAGCCAATTGGCCCATGTGTCCTCTCTCCCTCGATGAAAGTGAAAGTGAAAGTGGGGACATGCAATGTCCGCACCATATTTGAACCTAGCAAGGCAGTCCAGATTGCAAAAGAGACGAGAAGGTATAGCAGTGAAGTGCGAGGAATCTGCGGAAGCAGAGGAAATAGAAGTGAACTCTTTAAACTGTCAACTAGAGAGTCAATAACCTACTCCGTTATTGTCACCCAAACGACAATCACGAGCACACTGAACTTTGGAGTGACCATCATGATATTTCCAAAAGCATCAAAGGCTCTCTCTCATGCAGTCGGAACCAGTCTCCTCCTACAAGATCAGGATCATAACAGCAAGATGGATTCAACTCAAAAGGAATGAAAGTCACAGTCATGCAATACTACTCTGTGTACCTATAGATAATGCGGATCAAGAGAAGTCGGAGGAATTCTACAGACAACTGCAATCATTGCTGGACAAGACCTCACCACAGTTTGCGGCATCAAACTTCTAATGGGCGACATGAATGCCGAATTCGGAGTGGAAAACACAGAAAGAGAACTTACTATGGGTCGAGAAACACTCAACAAAAAAAGAGAATGGAGAACTGTTTACAGACTTCTGCACCTTCAACGATTTGGTGACTGGAGACAGTGTGTACAAGCGCAAGGTATTCATGAGGCAACACGGATATAATTTCACCAGATACACTGGAAATCAGATCGATTTCCTCTCAATCTACTGGACATAAGATCAGATCAACAAGTGAAGCAGATGTAGGTTCCCACCACTTGTTATCTACTGCAAGGGACCTACATTCAAGACCAAGTTGAAAGCCTTCAAAGTAGCTGGTGATAGACCACAGTTCAAGTTCAACAACCAGAACAGAAACTGAAGGACGAAATTACAAAGGACGTCTTAACGTCAGTCATTAGCACAAAATGGGAGACATTAAGCAGCGGCCCTAAAGAAACCTGCTTAGATGAACACTGAAACTCTTTGAAAGAGATGTGGAAAGATACCTGCACAACCGCATTAGGAAGGAAGAGGAAACAAGACAAGAAATGGATCTCAACAAATACATGGAAGCTGAAATAGGAGGGAGAGGAAGATGGTGATGTTGAAGAAGAAAATGAACCGGTACACTGCATTTCAGTGCAGGGATGAACAACGAAAAGAGGATCTGAACACAACCTATAAAACACTACACTGGATAAAGAAGTGAAGAAGAGTGCGCGTAAAGACAAAAGAAACTTCTACGACACATTGGTAAGTGAAGCAAAACAGGCTGCAAGTGGGACAGACAGATACCTGACAACATTATATCAAATAACCGGGTTGATATCTGGGTAGAGAGAGGTCAACGCAGATGAGACCAATGAAAGATAGTGAAGGAAAGTTAGTTACTAAAGAGGAGAAACATTGGGAACGATTTTCTGACCACTTCTAAAAACTCTTGAATCGACCATCACCATCACCTGCAACTCTTCCAGAAATACCACCACCAACCTAAGAATTACCAGTGAACGCAGGCCCTCTAACAAAAGCTGAAAAGAAGTCCTGAACGCCATAAAGTTTCTGAAATCCGAGGAAGCAGCAAGACCATATGGAGTTCCACAAGAAGCACTGAAAACAGGCGCGGAGATATCAGCAGCAGACAAGTTCACACCACTACTGCAGAAGGTCTGGAAGGAAGGAAAGGTACCTGCCGGTTGATTGGAAGCAGTGCTACCTTATCAAACTGTCAATGAAGGGAGACATAAGCCTTTGCAATAACTGTCTCAGAATCCTGCTGCTGTCAACCACAAGCAAAATATTAAGCCGCATCATTCTGGAGAGACTAAGCAATGCGCTCGATTCAAAATTACGACAGTAACAGGCTGACTTCAGGAAGAACAAATCATGTGTGGATTAAATTGCAACGCTACGCATCATCATATAACACAGCATAGAATAGGGGTCAACGTTTCTTAAACCTCAACTCCATCGGCTTTGAAAAGTCCTTCGACAGCGTCGACCGGGAAGCAATTTGGCAACTGCTTCAACACTACGGTTTGAGTGCCACAAATCTTTATCAACCGCATTCAGCAGCTATATGAAGATGTTACATGTCAAGTGGTTCACAGTGGGAAGCTCAGTGATGCCTTTGAAGTGAAGACAGGAAGGAGTAAGACAAGACTGCCACCTACTGTCACGGATCATCTTCCTGATTGTGTTGTGGTGGACTGGACTGGATCATGCAGCCAATGGCGAGGAGCGAAAAGATGGGCACATTCTCGCTGGACCGATGAAAAAACCTTAAAAGATTTAGATTTCCCCGATGATCTATGTCTAATGTCACACAAACTAGGAGATCTACAGCCAAAAATCAACATGTTTGCAGAGGAGGCGAGGCAGCGAAAGCAGCACTTTAAGTGAACGTAGAGAAGACAAAGGTGATGAAGATACCCAACCAACAGCTACAACAACAACAATAAGCTCCAACCACCATCAATGGAAGAAGCTTAAAGGAAGTTGTCTGTTTCACCCATCTGTCTAGGTACCACCGTTTCAACTTCAGGCGGCGGCACAGATGAGAATGTCAAAACCAGAATCAGAAAAGCAAGACAGGTATTCATTAACCTGAAACCAGTGTGGAGATCTGCACTGAGCATAAAGCATGAACAAAATCCAGATTTTCGACACCAGCGTCAAGTCAGTTCTCCTACGTGGTTCAGAATCTTGTCGCATTACGAAAGGCATTCCCAACAAACTGCAGATATTCATCAACAACTACCTACCCTGGCTCATTACTGAAGCTCAGATGGCCAGAATAATAAGGATAAGCAACAAGGAACTTTGGCAACGAACCAACCAAGAAGCTATCACTCAACAAATATGCAGAAGGAAGTGGAGATGGATTGGGCATGCACTGAGAAGGCAGACTGAGGACATCACTAACCAGGTGGAACGCAAGTGGAAAACGATGAGTTGGGCGTCCGAGATGA